TAAACACCTCTCTGTAAGCTCACCTGGCTTGCACTGAAAAGGGAGGGGTTCAAACCAATTGTACTGTCTATTCCGTGCAAACACAATGTGTGTGGAGCAGCCCCATCCATGTTTACTGTAAATGGGAGCCTTTGTCATGTCTGTTTACTCAACTAACTTTAATCCACATGTATACTAGAAACCTGGTGCAAAACCATTCATTGTCCACATAAGTCTGAATTAAAGTTACACACATATGCACACAGCAGGCAGACAGATAGTGAGTGTTCACCATGAAATGCTCTTCTTACATCTCCTACGAGGTGACATGAGATAATGAGGGCAAGGTAATAACAGTCGCAAGCACTTTTTTATTATTGTTGGGTTTGATCAATTTTTTTTATTATTTTGCACACTCAAAAAAATCGTATCCAATTGTCTTCCAGACTAAAATGATGTCACTGCACAGTGTTTCAGGGGATATTCGCCTACTGGTGTGACAAGTTAAGATAAATGGCAGTGTAACATTGCCAACAAGTCCAACACCTGGCTGTCAGATTGAAGACTTGATAGCAGAGATATACTGTATGTCCCAGACTGCGCTCACAGATATGACAATTTAATGCGCTCCTTCTGCGCAGCCAAGGTTATTAAACCCTTCGATGAGACTGACATTAGGACTATAGTGAGTCATGGTAACAGAACTTCATAAATGTACTGTTTATCTGCATGGGCATGTGACTACGCAGACAGTGGGTGGAAGCTTGCCTGGTCACATTTAGGAGCTGTCAGAGAGATGAAGGAGCACCCAGATGGTACTTCCAAGCAGCCGCCCGACAGGCCCTCGGGTTGTAGGTGGGGTTTGCTCTGTAGTCGTGCAGCTGTATTGGTCTGTCACCTGAACTTCTCCCCGACTTCACCCTCACTACATGTACATGTTTCTGCCTTGGTGTTCTCTTACACACTAGTCATTCCTTGGAACTGTTACAAGTTTTGAATTATTATGAGTTCAACTGTTGTATTTACAAAATGTGCTGCATGCTCATGGTTATGTAAGGCTAAATGAACTTGCAGCTCAAGGCTAAAAACAACAGTGCTAACATGCTATAATGTCAACCAAGTCTCACGGCATTTCGTGTTACAGTATAGTCACGACATTTAATCTATTGATTCGTGTTCACCAACACGATTTTCCCCTTTTTTTCGTGTCACACAGAACGATTAAAAAAAAAAAGCAATGTATTTCTATTGGTAGTATGTTTCGTGCCTGCACTA